CTAGTAACCATATTTAATCATTTCGCTTTTCATCACTACCTTCTGTAAGAGTGTAGATTTCTTCTTGCCTCGTCTCCACGACCACTGTCGCGCTGGTGTCGTTATTCCACCAACACTTCTAATTTTTATCATCGTCCTTCGACCTCCCAATAGTTGGTCGGAACTCCATTGACAATCTCTTTCCACACTGTTCGGTCTTCCATTGTTGTCCTCAAATGCCCATTGTCCAAACCTGAGTCCTGAGCTATGGTGTCTAACAAAGTCAATTTTTGTGAGGAAGACACTTCCAGAAAGATGCCATAGGAGTAAGGATAAGACGACATCCCTGTCCGCTCGGTGGCAGTGTCCGGCAAACTGTAATCGTTTTCTTTTTTGAGTTTGGTCTCAGTTCTCCGTAAATTGTGTTAAGCGTTGCCTTGGATCTCCGAGTAATGTTCTGGATTTATATGTTTCATCCAGTCGTCTTTCAAGACGAGTAGATAATTGTCTAATTATAATTTTTAGCGGAATGGGTAAGATGTTCCCGCAGGGTTTGAATCTCCGGGACGAGGCATTCTTATAATTGTGGAGAGTGTGGAGATAATAAGTGTGGAGAGATAGTACTCTCGGTGCTTACTCGTCACCACCACGATGACGGAATATAGCACAAGGCAGGATTAAAGTGAGGATCCAAGAGTGTGTACATGGGCCAGGTTCAAAAACAGTCTTGCACCCGCAACAGTCGATAGCGTTGGCATCGGCATTACTAGCGACCCTATCTTTAGTGCAATACTTCTTTCTCAGTCACTGTAATGTGTCAGGGACGAAACTACTCGTTTGGTTTGAGATGGTGGAGAGAGAAGTGGTTTTCTTGCCTTTCTCCAGGGCAATAGTATAAAGTGTTATACTTAGAAAAAACAAAGTTGCAATTCACACGAGAAGTAAACCTCAACAGCCATCTTTATGAAATAAACCACGACCCCCTTGAGAATAAAAATCAAAATTGTCCGGTTTCTCCGTAAATAAATGCGACTTGTTACTCTTTGCCAAAAGATATATTTATCTACGTCCTCCCTTAACAAACTTTACGATTTTCTTGTGGTTTGTTCTTTCATTGATTTCGTTCGAATGTTTGATCTCCATGGACAAGCCATCTGATGCTAACTCTGCAGCTAATTTTGCTGTCAGCTGGCCAAAGGCCAGACCTTTTGGTTTGGGTCGGTTCTCTTGTAAAAGGCAACGGCTGGTAACAACGACGGTCCATTATGCAAATGATAACCATTTATACGCTGAAAGATTCGATTGTTTTACTCATTGTCCGAGCGAATATCTTTCTTTATTTATTGCAATAGATCGGCCGATATGTTGCTCGATTTTGCTGAAGCTTTGTGGGCTACGGTACGTGCGTGTAGCAGTTATCTGGAGTCGAGTACAAACACTGGGCGACACTGTTGACCTCGTTTTTGCACAAATGCCCTTGAAAAGCATACAATTCCATTTCTTTTCTCCACAACTGTAGGTTAATTAGTAGGCCAGATTGAGCTTTCCATATTTCATATATAGTGAACAGTGAGGTCAACACCGACTGGCGACAGTCTGTTTCACGTTAGGACGCTATATATATATATATATATATATATATATATATATATATATGTTTGTTTTACAATTAGGATATAGAAATCCCGACAAAGTTTTAAAAAAAAAATTGTCGGGATTTCTATATACTAATTTTAAAACATACCGTCGACACGGAAACCGTATAGAAAAAAAAATGAATTTCACCCCATTCTGAAGAATTCTATGCGGATTTGACTTGGTTTAGAAAAAGCTAAATGAATTTCATACTTTCAAGCCATTCTGATAAGGAGAAGCGGATTCGATACGAATAAAACTGTGAACATACATTAACAACTTTCGACTCGATCTAAGAGCAAAGAAAAGATGCCAGAATAAATATTAACGACTTTTTTTTTTAAAGTCACTCATTTTCTTTCTTTAATCACGAGAAACGCCAGATTAGGGAAAAAAGTACTAAGATTCATTATCAAAGAATATACTTTTCCAGAGTTTTCCTTCCCCGAAGGCAACCGGTCTAGCTAAATATCCTTCTATTTTATCCAAAAGGAGAGAGAAGAAGATTTATACCTTTCCCAAGGGTATTATCTCGTAATGACAAAAGTACACAGATGTAGGCTTTAAGAAAGCTTTATTCAACTGAGAATAAAAGGTTCGCGTATAGTGTCCTTTTATAGTCCCAGTAAACAGAAATAACTCTTTCAAAGAGGAGAGTAATAAAACAAGGGGAGACCATTCTTGGTTATTCATAACAATAGGCTCGGCTGATGAGCCTCAAATACTCGGAGATAGTGACTATGTAAGATGGTAAAATGCGTCATCATAATTGGCGGCATAATCGGAATTGCCCAGCAAATGCTGATCTATGGAAGAGTCGTGCACCACTTGAGTAGTTCTTGGAACACGACTCTGACTCCGTCGTCGGCATCCTTCCCTCTCGCTGCCGGGACGTCTAGTTCCCCCTCTCGGCCTTGCTAGCAGAGTCCAAAGGAGAGGATAAACCAATACAGTCTGGTACCAGAGCGGCTGTAGGAGTTGCCGGAAGGTAGCACAAAGTGCCTTCCAACCTCCTTAGGGGCTCCACTCCAAGTTTAAATTCGGAGTTGTCCTTCCCCTAGACTAGTTGCCATCCAAGGCTATGGAACCCAGTCTGTCCTTCTATTTACTCATAGCTGGAGTGAGAAGAAGAGGATTCACACCTTTCCTAAGGGTATTAGCGCGTATGTGAATGCAATGGATTCGACTGGAATTCGAACTCGGCTCTCCGATTACTCAATCCAAGCCGCTATCCATTACTCCATCGTGCCTCTACTTGAACCTAAATAGGCATGTTGCGTAATCCATGTTTCCAACCTCTGATTGGTCCGTCCTATATACACCACGTCGTAACGGAATTTGAATTTATATATAACTGAACTGTTCTAAAAATAGGACAACCGATGCTCGCTGAAGGATTGAAACGCGGATCTCGTCTGGAAGACAATACGCAACTTAACAGCATTTATAGCACACGAAGCAACACAAGCTGAAATGATGTCAGCAAGCAGTTAATACTTTCTGCCCAAGCAAGGCAATTTCAAATAAATTGAGCTTCGACTATGTTCTAGAACTACTGGTTCCTTACACCGTCTAATTTTACCATCAATAACGCGTTTGATGATATTAGTAGGATAACTATTACTTTCAAAAGTGTTTTTTTGAACCTTGCAAGTTCTCCGTCTAACAAGTTAGGAGAACAGATCCTCAAAGCACGATGAACCAGGCTAGAAAGTAAACTTTGAAAGAATATAATTATATATATATATATATATATATATATATATATATATATATATATATATATATATATATATATATATATAATTATATATATATTATATATATAATTATATATATATATAATTATATATATATATATATATATATATATATATATATATATATATATATATAATTTTTAATCTGACAATTTTATTACTTCACTAAAATAACGTTTGAAGCAATAAAAATATCGGATGAAATATAAATCCATTAATTCTTTAGAAATTGCTTGGTTTACGTTTTGAAGACGAAACTAAGTAGATAAGTCTTTCACAAAATATAATCTAGGAGAAGAGGATATACTTCCCTTAAAAAAGGGAAAAATAGAGCCTTGCTTAACTGTGACGTGCTTCGTGGTCAAGCACCTCGAATCAAACGGTGTTTCCCCCTACAAAGGGGAGACGCAGATTCGATCTCTGCACATTTTCATTAGTAATATTTCTCGAACGCTCAGTCTGTAGGACGTATTACACACTGTTTAATAAATCCAAATGGGGTGTCTATTTCAAATAAGAAGTGTCGCACAATGAATCCTGGTGGCAATAAAACAGCGCTTTATGTAAATTAACAGATTTACAATTTGCACTAATGATAAATATACATGCGTTTCTGACCGTCTCGTACAACTCTGAGGTTCCTGCATGAAATTGAGGTCGTGGCCTGAAAATTGCGTTCAAGAATGAAACAGACTATCGCTATTCCTATATTCACACACGCTCTATACCGGATGCTGACAACTTTTGCGTATTAATCTAAGAAGTTATTATGTACACTATTTACATTGTTCGAGGCTTCGTTGCGATATTCACGACGTTTCGGCGTTTGTACGCTCCGGCCTTCTTCAGGAGACTGGAATCTCGAACTGAGCCATTGACCTCGTGAATATCGCAACGAAGATGAAGACAACGGTCCGAATAAATTCAAGAGAATGTGACGAGGCAGCTGCAAATTCGCCCCAAAAAGGAGTTCCAGAAATGCTTTCATCAACGGAATAAAGTGTGTGGCTTCAGAAGGTGTCTATTTCGAAGGAGACTAAATGTTGAATTGATATGTGTTATAGTTTTCTTTGAATAGCATCACTTCCCATACTTTTTGATCAGACCTCGTATATAAAAACTTGACGGTAAATGTGTGTGTTGGCTTCGTGCTTGTATGCATGTGTTATCGGATGTGTTGCATTACAGTTATTTATTCGCCTCTGTGTGTATCTGCGTCTTTGATTCACAAAGCCAAAAAACTGATTTAAAAATGATTCAAGATTATCCCATAATCCTGTTATGACAGTCGCTATCAAATCGGAAGCAAGGAAGCTTCTCTTCTGTTTTGTTTTTAATATTCGTTTTGAAAAAAATTAACAGACTGTCCTATTGGATTATTTTATTTTATTTTACAGTAAGTTTCACCCTGTACAAGGCCCTGGGGCCACTCGAGGTAGAGGGTTACAGAGTAAGAGGTACAACTTATGTGGATATGAGCGAGAGACAACGGTTAAACCTAGACTTGAACAGGCTAAGATTATAGTAAACGGCGAAGCAGCCCCTTACCAGTCGGTTATTATAGCGTTGGTCGTGTTTATAATTGTATTTATCGATAAACGTTGATCACATTCATAGTTGAGTCATAGATCTCGGCCGATCACCGAAGTTAAGCCCCGTCGAGCCTGGTCAGTACCTAGATGGGTGACCGCTAGGGAATACCAGGTGCTGTAAGCTTGGATGTGTGGGTAGTGTAATGAATAATGGCTAGGAATGAGAAATCATGGTCGCATCATGTTGAAGCATTGGTTCCCGTACGATTAGAGAAGTTAAGCAACTTTGAGCCTGGTCAGTACCTAGATTGGTGGTCGCTTGTGAATACGTGAAAGCTTGGATGTGTGGGCGGTGCAATGGATAATGGCTAGGAATGAGAAAGCAGAGAGCTGAGCTTACAACCACATCATATTGAGATCTTACTCCCCGTACAGTTACAGAAGTTAAGCCACGTCGAGCCTGGTCAGTACCTAGATGAGTGACCGCTTGGGAATGCCGGGTGCTGTAAACTTGTATGTGCGGATGCTGTAGTGAATTTCGGCTTGGAATGAGAAATTGGACAGCCGTGTTCCAATTCCAATCGGGTTCGTTATATTCACATATGCAAAATAACCTTGGGAAAGGTATGAATCCACCTCTGCACTACCCAACTTTTGTTTTTTGCAGTAGTGTTCACCCTCTACAAGGCCCAAGGGCCACTCGAGGTAGATGGGTACAGAGTAAGAGGTAGAGTTTATGCAGATATATGAGGAAGATAAACAGTTAACCCTAGACTTGAACAGGTTAAGTTTGTAGGTATCGGGGGAGCAGCCTCTTGGGAGTCGGTTCCACAAGGCAATAGTTCATGGGAAGAATCTGAGTGGAAGTTATATCTCACCAGGGCATATGAAAGGAATGAGGGTGGTTCACTACAATGGGCGTGGCATGGCGGGTCTTAGCTGAGAAGATTAGGACTGCTGGATCTAAGGAGTGTAGTTCATCTGAACACTCACCATGGAAAAGCAGATAGAGCAGTTACAGTTATTGGGACGACTCGTCTGTGAGAAAGGGCTGGAAATGTCATCACCCAAAAGGACGCGAAAACGTTTTTGGTCTCTATCGATCTGGAAAATGAAGACTGTGCAGTTCTCACCCCATATATGGCAGCAGTTTTCCATTTTCATTCTGATCTGACTCTTGTAAAGGGAGAGGCTAGTGGAAGGAGTCAGGTACTTGCTGGAGCGGTACAGGTGCCTGCATCTTTATCAAGGGATCATATGTATGTTCCATTTGTGGTTTGCCTTGAGTTTAAGGCCCAAAAGCTGATCAAGGCACTGGGCCTCCCCGAGGGAACAATCCGTTCATTATTATTATTATTATTTTACATACACAATACTTCCGTTAGTTATCTGGATACCTTGGGATAAAGGTTATTTTTTTTTGACAATGATGTTCACTCTATACAAGGCCGAAAAGCCACTTAATGTAGAGGGTTACAAAGTAAGAGGCGCAGTTTATGAGGCTATGTGGGAAAGATAATGGTGGACTCCAAACTTGAACTGTTTAAGAGTGTAGTGATCATGGAAACATTCTCTTGGGAGTCTGTTGCACAATAGAGCGGTTCGTGGGTAGAAGCTGCTCGAATGGAATTTGCATCTCACCAATGAATTATGGAGGGAATAAGGTTGGTTCGTTTCAAGGTGCGTGGCGGAGCTAATAAATGTAGTTCGTCTGAACACTTTCCCTGGAAAATGCGATCGAGTAGCGAGAGGCTTGCGATGTTTCGTCTGTGGGGAAACGGGTGGTAGAGTGGAAAATAATTCATCTCCCACAGGAACGCGACAATATTTGTCTACTGCTGGCATCGAGTTCTTCCATCGATAACTCCCGAAGACAAGACAAGACAGAATACATGGTTGTTACGAAACGAAATATATTAAGAAACATGAACATTTCGTTAGAAACAAAGCAAAGAGCACTGAAATGTTATGTCATATCAGTCCCTCCTATATGGCAGTGAATGATGGTTAATCTCTTCACAGATGAAGAGAATTGGAGAATTTGATACTCACAGGACATACTGGAGGCAAGGGGGACATGAAAACAACGCATAACCTACCTAGAGAGCTAAATGGATGGCGGAACAGAGTTTAGAAGATATAACAAAGAGACAGAATTTATTAAGAGCTGCAAGCGATGGGGAATTGTGGAGAGCCATGATCACCAAGAAGAATGAAAAGTGAGGAGTTTAGTAAAGTCTTGTTCACGTGAAACAGTTGAAGTAGCCTACTAAAATGTATTCGATCACGTTTAGGCGGTGAACGTAGGCGGGCGTTATAAACCCTATAGAAACTGTCTCTTCACTGATATCCTATCCAAGGGAGGTAATCCCATCACTGGGTTCCCGTAAAAATTCTTAATCAGGGGAAACAACCTCTTCCCAGGTTTTTAGTACTATCTTTTACTTATTTCGTATTTGTTAGCGTAACTTCTAGTTGAAGGCTCAACCAACCTAAACATTTGTCAAACATATGAAGGCTTCAATCAATTATCTTTTTTATTGTTTCATCCCAAGCAAAGCGATAATGACATTAGCAGACAGGGGGTTACAGAAGAGGAAAGAGAATAAAAAGATACCAGGAGTGAGGAATGGATTTCAGAAAGACAAAAGATTGACGATGCAATTATATCTTTGATGATTGTAGTTACTAGGAAAGCAAGAAATCAGAAAGGAGTTCCACAGGTGGGAAATGCGCGAAAAGTAAACGTTAGAATATAATAAATATCATTTTCAGTAAAAAATATTTTTTAGCAGCGGCTACGGTTGCTGAAAAAGATATTTACTATAGCCCATCTTAAGATAAAAACATATACACGTTAACTCCTTCCGTCAATTAGGGTTAGACGTCACGAAAATTATTATTATTATTATTATTATTATTATTATTATTTGTGCATGTTATATTTCCTGCTTCGTATTCTGTAGAACCGAGTCCAGACTATGGTCCCTCGGCTCTATAGGAGAATTGTCATTTAATTGATAACACTTTTCTTAGTAAATGGGATGTTCCCATTCTGGGCAACTTGTATGTTGATATTAGCTGGGAAACTGTTAGTAAAATTGTCCATTCCTTTTCTCCGATTACTATTGGTACTCTCAGTCTTCACTCTCCACACCCTGTTAATCTCGATCTCCAGGTCCTTTGTATTTGGACAATTTCTCGATAATTTTCATGGAGGTGTTTCTCTCAGATGGTACCGCTATGTCAATAAACATACACTTCCTGAACTTCTTGTCTTTTATGATAATATCAGGTTTGTTGGCTTTTATTTCCCTGTCAGTTTGAATTGGCATATCCCAGAGGATAGTTACATCGTTATTTTGGGTAACTGTGTCTGGTTGGTGGTCATACCATCTCTCAGTGGTTTCGATTTTGTGCTTCTATCTTAATTCAAGAAGATAAAAGATTATTATTATAATTATTATTGATGTTACTGATACATGGATAAAACATTAAAGTTATCATGAAATAATTATAATTCCATTTCCGCTAGAAATGGAATTATAATTCCATTCCATATAAGGTTTACGGCTATATCCCAAAGACAGGTTTCCGTACGATCACCAAAGTTAACCATCGTCGAGCCCGGTCAGTACCTACATGGGTGACCGTTTAGTTAATACCAACTACTGTACGCTTGCATGTGCGGGCGGTGCAATGGATAATGGCTCCGAATTGTTAATCGGAGTGCCGAGTTCCAATTCCCGTTGGGTTCATTATATTCACTTACGCGTAAATACCCTTGGGAAAGGTATGGATCCCACAATCGAGGCTTAATTAGTAAGACTTGTATCACTAAACAATTATTATCGCAAAACAAATTTCTTAAAAATGTAAAATATTTTGGGGGTTTAAATTACCCGCAAAGTGTTGATAAACCGTCAAAAACGGATCAACCAATCGTGTTTGCTAGAAGCTAAATACCTGTTTGACGCTCTCCAGTTGTAAACAAATTGAACGATCATTTGAAGTACTCATTTTTTTTTCTGCCGAAATTAGATTAAATTCTGATTAAAATTCGAACGGTTTTATTTATTTATTTTTTCTAATGACAAACGGGAGCGATCTCAGTATTTGCTTAACTCTTGTCATTTTGAACGCCATTTCATGGAAAACCAATCAAAATACATCTGCATTTCTTTTTATTTTTGCCGAATATAAATTAATCTGTTGCTGAATATTCTCATTAAAACTGCGCAGATCTTATTATTTGTTGTTCATCAATCGAATTTTGGCTCTCATTTTCTAATTCTTTCGTTTCTTTCGATAATTTTTCTCTTTTTTACTGAACTCCACCAAAAAGCTAATTGAATCAATAAGAAAAAGGGAGACAACTATCGTTTACTGGGCCCATGTTCCTGAAGGAAGACAGCAACGTAAATAAAACACTGGGCTAAATGGAATTGATAAACACACATACAGTGCTGATAATTACGGTGGTGAAGAATTAATTCACAGAAAAACTAAGAATAACAACTAACAATTTGGATAAAATAGATTTGCTTATTATTGTGCTAGATCCGTCTTCAGTATGTAATTATATTCATGCTAATTACAATTAATGGTAGATGAAGTAGTAACAATAACAATTATGGAGATCTAGTGGTTCAATGAAACGTAATGTGAACTTATCAAAATACTCTGATGAGACTGCATCACTTAGACAATTAGACGTACTCCATTTAGTCAACTGTTTTATTCGAGGAGTATCTGTCTGGTAAGCATAAATCAGGCCAGGACTTGTACCTCGATAAAAGTAGTCAAGTCAGAAAAAGCATGATTATCGGCTTGTACCTCTGTAATGGTAGTCAAGATAAAAAAAGGCACGGTTATCGGCTTATCAATCTATAACGGTAGTCAAGTCAGAAAAGGCACATTCATTGGCCTGTACCCCTATAACGGTAGTCAAGCCAAAAAAAGGCACGGCCATTAGCTTGTATCTCTATGACGGTTGCCTAGCCTGAAAAGACACGATACTTAGCTTGTACTTATGTAATGGTAGTTAAGTCAGAAAAGGCACGTTCGTCGGCTTTTACCTCTGTAACAGAAGGCAAGTCAGGAAAGGTATGGTCATCGGCTTTTAATTCTATAACGGTAGTTAAGTCTAAAAAGCACGACCATTGGCGTGTCGCTCTATAAC